CTCCCGCATCGGGGAGATAGATGAGGTGGGTACCCCCAACCACACACAACCACCCAAGAGGGGGGGTGGGTGGGGGATTTGGGGGGGGAAGGCTCCACGCATCTTAAAGTTGCCAACGTTGAGAAACACTGCTCTAGAGTAAAGGCAGGAAACCTTAGAATATGTTTGGACTGCAGTTCCCATCAGTCCTGGTAGCATGTTTAATAGCACAAGTTCCTCATCCCTCCTTTCACGGGATATGATCTGTGTACTGGGCTGTTATAGAATAAAGAAACCGCACACGTTTGCCTTCTGACCCGTTTGAGGTGGAGAGGGAGGAAGTTTCAAGGTCGAAAGAGGTTATAACTTAACTAGAATCACCCTTTGGCTTGAGTATATTTCCTTCTCATTAGAAAATTCAGTATCGAAATGTCACGATAGGGAAGAGAAGATCATTTTATTTATTTTTTTATTGCAAGGCACCCAACTCTATATTCTTTTAAGAATTCTGAGCACTGTATTTGCTGCTAATGGTTTTTTTTATTTTTGCAGCAACACAAAACTAGACCTAGAGCTTTCATAAACTGCTCTTTAATTCTGCTTCACCAATAGGTTCACAACCACATGACATATATTGTTATAAGCTATTCATTTTCATCCTGCTGTACTAAGAGTGGGCTCCATTATAGGGTTGTTTAAACCTCTGGTCCTGAATTGTAAGGGAATGTTATAAAGTATGTTGTCTGAGCTATAATCTCTAGCCCATGGAAAAAAATAAATAAATAAGGATTATATTTCTGCAGGACAATTTTGAAATGTTTAAAGCTTCTTTTTTTAACAAAAGGAAAACACCAATCCTGTGTCATTCAAATCGTTTTCCACTCCTAGCGACCACACAGATAGAGCGTCATAGAGAAAATCTATCCCTAACCTGGTCTTTCGGGTCTTAAAGGAAAACTGACTTATTAAGAATAGGGATTTCTGCAGTAATTTTCATCTTCATTCATTGCGGGAGGGAGATTACACTATTTCCTAATCTGCTGCCATAACAGACTTCTGCAGTTTTCTACAATCGCTTGGAGGCAGCCGTCCATTTAGCAGCACAAACCGGGGTGTGGGTGGGAATGGCGCCATAAGGGCCCAAAGACCCTCATCTTCGAACATCCATCTACAACTGCCGGAGTCCAGCAGTCCCGAAGCCCGCCCGTTTCTTCAGGAACCGGAAACGCGCTGCAGAGGATCTCGCGAGAGTTCGTACGCGGAAATCGAGTTCCGAAAGACAGGAGGCGCACGGGCGAGCGCGGGGGATTGGTGGGTCGCTGCTCGCTGCTGTGGTAACAGGGTTCGGCTGGGGCGCTTGCTCGTAAGAGCGCGGCTCTGGGGGAATTCCTCTTCTCCCAAGATGGCGGTGGCGGGGGGCGGGGGAGTGAACCCCTTCCTCAGTGACTCTGAAGAGTCCGAGCCGGAGGAGACCAGGCAACCGGAAACGCGCTGCAGAGGATCTCGCGAGAGTTCGTACGCGGAAATCGAGTTCCGAAAGACAGGAGGCGCACGGGCGAGCGCGGGGGATTGGTGGGGCGCTGCTCGCTGCTGTGGTAACAGGGTTCGGCTGGGGCGCTTGCCCGTAAGAGCGCCGCTCTGGGGGAATTCCTCTTCTCCCAAGATGGCGGTGGCGGGGGGCGGGGGAGTGAACCCCTTCCTCAGTGACTCTGAAGAGTCCGAGCCGGAGGAGACCAGGCCGGGGGGCAGCAGCAGCAGCGACCCCGGCGGCTCGGGCGCCCCGCTCCCCGTCTCTTCCTCCACCTCCTCTTCGCCACCCCTTCAGCAGCAACTGTTGCCGCCGCCCGTGCAGGCCGAGGAACCGCCCCGGGTGCCTGTGGATGCTTTAGCGGCTCAGCTGCTGCGCGACCAGTTCGTGTTGACGGCGCTGGAATTGCACACGGAGCTTCTGGAGAGCGGCCGGGAGCTGCCTCGCCTGCGTGACTATTTTTCCAATCCTGGCAACTTCGAGCGACAAAGTGGGGGCGGCACCGGAGCCCTGGCACCGACTCCTTCCGCCTCAGTAGCCCCAGGGATAATATCGATGGTCGGAGGCGGTAAGGAGCCTGGCGCCGGACAGCTCCGTAAGTGGATAGCCGTGCTTAACAAAGGGAGGATTAGAAGGATTCTCTTTCCGCTTGCCAGGCTTCAGCCCTTGGTTGACCTTGGCTTGGGTGTATTTTCAGTGAATTCCCTTATTTGGGGTCGGAGCATTTGTAAATCTTCATAGAAAAGAGGCAGGGATCTCCCGTGTTCTATCGTGGCGTTCACGAAGAAACGCCCAGATGGTTCGCTTGATTGCATTACTAGCACCAGTACCCGTTCTTGAAAAAGATGGTGTGACTTAGCTCAAAGCATTTAATGGGAAGACAGGCCTTTTTTTTTTTTTTACGTGATTGTGCTGAATGGTTTTGAGACTGCAGTCACTTACCTAGAGAGAAGTAAATCACATTGAGTTAAGTACCAAGTATGAACTTACAATATTGATCACTTAGATGACAGAGTTTGTAAGTGCTGTCTATTGGGTATCTGTGTGGCCTTTTCTATTGTCTTATGGCATGACTTTTTAGGGCCACAATGGATTGAATAGTACAGTATAAGTTTAAGGGTTTTTGGTAATTCACACATCACCATAGAAAGGTATAGTAGTCACTTCTGTGGTGTCTGATGATTTGATAAGCGAAATTAATTATTGCTGTCTCATATAGTTATTGTATATATGTATATACAATAACTTTCACCTTTGTCACAAACATTTCAATTCAGAGACATGTTTGGGAGAGACTCTGGGAACTACTTCTAAGAAGTCATTGCATGAACTTGTTATGCATGCTTGTACTAAGCCATAATGAGTCCAGCCAGTTGTGACTTAGTGAACAAACTGGGACTAACAATGTGATTGATGGTGATGATATGCCATCAAGTCAGTATTGACTCTTAGCAAGCACATAAATAGATTTTTCTCCATGATGATCTGTCCTCAGTCTAGTCCTTCAGGTCTTCTGGTGGTGGACCCATTGCCACTGTAAACATGTCCATCCATCTTGCTGCTGGTTGTTCTCTTTTTCTCTTCCTTTGGATTGTTCTCAGCATTATAGACTTCTCGAGAGAGCTTGGTCATGTATAGTGTGCCCAATATGTGATAATTTGAACCTGGTCATTTGTGCCACAAGTGAGAACTCTGGACTGATTGGATCAGTTGTTCATTTGTTTGTTTTCTTGTCTATCCCTGATATTTTCAGGATCTTTGCTAACACCAAAGTTCAAAAGTGTCAGTAGTATAGTGCAGTATGTAAAAATAGCTGAGTTTTGAATCAGCTGGTGTTTTTCTGATTCTTCTTGCCATTTGCAATTTAATAGAAACTATAAAGGCGTAACTAAAGAAGCAGCAGTTTTAAAAATCTGTACTAAACAGTTGGCCAAATAAAAATATTATGTTGATACACTGCATTAATTTTACCTCTTGTTCCTTCAGAGGCAACATCCTGAAATATCAATGAGCGTACATGTTTTGTTTTACAATAATGGTATAGCTAATGCTAAGATACTGGATTGGATCATGGAAGTTTCACTGAAAATGTGTGTCTTGTATATATTGCTTTTAGCTTCAGATTGTGGGAGGATGTTTGGACATTTTTCAATAAATCCTGCTCAACTACAATATAAGAGTAGTAAGAAATGGTTCCACGTAAGCTCCCTCTGCATCTTTTCAAGTTTCAGTACCATGATATTTAATTCAGCTACATTGGTAAGACCACACCCAGTCAATCCTGAGTGATTAAAAAAAACCCAAACTAAGCAAGGTCATTTCTAGTTTGTATTGGAAGGGAGATTATGAAGAAATCTACACTGGGAAGTCAACAGCATATTCCATTAGATGACAAATGTCTGTAATAACATCAAGTCAGGGAAGACTTTATATAAGTGATGCCATATAAATGCTTTTAAGAAACATGAACTACCAAGAAATCATCATTGTACAGCAAGACACGTAGAATATTTAAGCATTTCTGCAGTTTAAAAGTAGTGAGTTGAGAGAGAGGACAGTGTTTTGTGATTCTATTGAGAAGATTCCATAAATCCACATGTACATGCCCAAACATCTGTAACAGCCAGGATTACTCCCTTGCTAGAATTTTTGCAAAATGTCTCTATGAAGAATAATTTTGGTTCTTCTTTACTTCAATCACATTAGTAAAAATAAAGAGCATTTCAGTGTTCACAAATCACATGAAACCATAATGTAGTTTCATTTAATTTTGATTTAGACATTTTATTTTCTGAGCCATAATATATGGATTACCATATGTTGTGACTTATTTAGCAAACTAGGTCAGCCCAATGTCTGATACTGAAAAGATACTGGGATCACATTTTTACAAGAATACTGTACATGTGACTAGTCTATTTGCACAGGCAATGTAAGGC